TATCATTGCAGGTGTCGCAGCCCTGTTGCTGGCAGCTTCTCCTTTGATATACTCTTTTTTTTTTTTTTTTTAAATTCGCTTGCATCTTTTTTTCCGCATTAGGTTTTGGGATTGATCTGGCTTTTTCTTGAGAGCTCACAGGAGTCCGGTCAGTCGTTTTCTCGGTTTTTGATGGGTTAGCGAAGGCAACATGTCTACACTCGGCTGGTCCTGTGTTTCTTCGATTCTGGCTTTGCCATTTAATACTGTTCTGCCCTACTCCTTTTCTCTTTGCATGTCCACTTGGACACTTTTTTTGGTTGTCGATTGGCCCTACTTGATACCTTATTTATATCTTTATATGTGCTGTTACATATTAATCGTTCTTGTCGTTCATTATCGTCTGTCGACGGTTGATATTTTTTTTCTTCTGATTTATCTGCTTGATTTGCATGTGTTAGAGTCCGCATTCGTCCTCTGCTGCCTTTGGTTTTCGTTAACCCTGGCTTCAGTCTCCTCTCAGCTTGCTGCATCAGCTCTGCATGCTTTATTGATATTGATTGGTTGATTATTTACTGCTTTATGCGCTGATGTTTATGTGTTTTGATGTTTGTTTACTGTGATTTCTGTTGATTTTCCGACAAGTTTGTTTTGCGATAGTCGCTGTACTATAGTTAGCTGCGAGAATAAAATTGGTGAAAGATGCATTGTATCACCTCTATCGTAGTTTTTAATTAAATTGGTTATATTATATTTTTATCGTAGATTATTCTATTGTAGACTGGTGATGCTGGAGGTCAGCCCGACCCACTCGCCCGTTACGGACCGTCGGACACTCGCGTTATCTCGTCACCAGCCATTGTGCGCTGCGCAACCCACAGCCCAGCGCTCTATGTACGCTGCGCGAACATTATGACAGTCGAATAACTTAACTACAGGCGATTAAACATGGTGGACGATGAAAAGATCGAAGAAGTCGACGAGGAGCACGCCGTCGCGCCCTTGTCCGAGATCACAGCACAGCGCCCCGTCGAACCCACCGATATACAACGACGACCCGGTGGCGCACCACTGTATGACTCCCATGGAGGAGACAATGCGATCGCTGAACTTGTCGCAGAGCCTCCCGTCGATCGAGTATCTTCAGCACAGCAGGAGCGAGAGCAGGAGCAGCAGGCCCCAAGTAGACGACCGTCGTCGGAACTGCCACCGCTATCGAAGCTGGCGACAAAACTCTACACAATCTCGTACCTCATCTTCTTCGCCATCTTCGGCACTCTGGCGCGTCTTGGTTTACAGGCGCTGACGTATTATCCCGGAGCACCTATTGTGACTGGAGTGCTATGGGCCAATTTCGGCGGTTGCGTGCTGATGGGCTTTTTTATCGAGGATCGCAACATCTTTCGCGAGGAATGGGGCCATCCGCCGCATCCATCGGACCACTCGACTGACTCGGCGTGGGTCAAGAAGCACAAGACGGTCAAGAAGTCGATACCGCTGTATATCGGATTGACTACGGGGTTCTGCGGCTCGTTTACGAGTTTCTCTAGCTTTATGCGGGATGCGTTTCTCGCACTGTCAAACGACTTGGCTGATCCGTCTGCTTCTTTGTCGGCTATGCAGGGAAGGAACCGGGGGGATAGTTTCATGGCAGTTGTCGCCGTGTTGATATTCACTGTGTCGTTCAGCATCTCTGGTCTATATCTGGGGGCCCATATCGCCCTCGCCCTTGACCCGTGGATCCCCACAGTGCCGTTTCGCATCACGCGCAACATCCTCGATCGCGTAGTTGTGTTGCTGGGCTGGGGATGCTGGCTTGGAGCGGTGTTTATGAGCATCTGGCCGCCGGAGAACTCGTGGCGGGGACAGGCTGTCTTTGCGATTGTCTTTGCGCCGCTGGGGTGTTTGTTCCGCTTCTATGCGTCTCTGCTGCTAAACCCGCGTGTTCCTTACTTTCCGCTCGGTACGTTTGTGGTCAATATCATCGGCACGGGGATATTGGGGATGTGCTATGACTTGCAGCATGTGTCCGGCATTGGGGCGTCGCCTCCGTCTTTCTGGGGCGTGGTCTACCCCGAGCCATCGAGAGCATCGCTCTTTGGCGGCGACAGCTACATTTCCTCTTTGGTCGTGAGCTGTCAGGTCTTGCAGGGTGTCATGGATGGATTCTGCGGGTGTGCTACGACGGTCAGCACCTGGGCTGCAGAGCTGACCAGTCTGGGACGGAGGAGGTTTGCGTATATCTATGGAGGAGTCAGCATGGCAGCTGGGTTGGGCTTGTTGGTTGCTGTTATGGGCAGTGTGAGATGGAGTCGCGGGTTCGACAGTCCGATTTGCACGACTTGATATTTACACCATTAATGATAATAATAACGATGTATCTAGAATCACGATAGTCGCTAGCGTCCATGTCATTACAATTCAACCATTCCTTCCATTTTCTATTTCTAGAGCATATCGTCCGCTTTTGCTTTTCGAGCCCACAAGTTCATACACTGACCACTCTCCTCTGTGGAAAAAGTCTGCAGCACAGACTCATAAACACAGGAACCAAGCGTTTATTAGCTAAAATTGTCCCTACTAAGATTTTTATTACCAACATTGAAGATACTCTTTATCAGGGCCTTTCCGCTAAGAACTTTTTTATTAGAAACCTCCCTTCAAATATAAATTTTATTGAAGTCTCTAATTAAGACTATTCCTATTAATATAATTATAGCTATGTAACTACGTATATATTAAGCTATCTAATCTCGAGCGAAGTTGGGAGGACCGCTAGCAAATCCCTTAATTATTGGGTAGTTATATATCAATTTAGTTTGGGTTTAGTGGCCTTTTTACTGCACTAACCAGGTAACGGCAGGGGGTGGGGCCAGAACCGTCTGACTTGAAAGGCTGAATTTACGGGCGAGTCGCGGCTTACGGCACTTCCCACTTTCGACTATCCCTACACCATATAAAGCCTCTAAATCTGAAATTTGGAAAATAGAATCCTACGGGCCCTATTAAGAGCTTCAGTTTGATACTAATTCGTCTATCCTAACTAGATCCTTATAGAGATATGTCAAGTTAAAGTTTGATTCAAATTTGTTCAAATTGCCCTGATATAACCCTAAGTCGACTCGCTACCCCAAATATAATCCTAATTCCATATATAATCTTACTTAATAGATTATAGGTCTGTCGGCCTGCATCTTGCGACTTTCCTGGGTGTTATTAGCCCCTGTATCGGTTATAATATGGGATTTTACTGCACTAGCAATAACTCCTCCAATATCAATACATCGGGTTGTCATACAAATTGGCACTGAAGATAGATAATTTAATCCTCTACTAATACATTCCAATGATTATTGGTTTTCAGTGGTTGTATAGTGCTTTTTTTGCGGCGTGTGCTGTAAAAAGTAAATGAGGTCATATTTTTGACCGCCATCCTCAGAAAATTACCTCCCCAAAATTTTCGGACCTTCTGCGAAGACGGCAAACGTCGGTCATGTTGATAGATCTGAATTGGACCAGACAAAGACACCTGAGTTTCCTTTCTAGCGTGTTGATTGCTCGACTGTGCTAGGACAATCCTAGCAAACAACCCTAGCAAGCAAATACTAGATTTAGGACCACTGAGGGTATTTCCAAATTTGGCACCGCTATGTAAATAAAAACGCATCGCACACAAAGATATCTTCATGTTCTTAGAATAATCTTAGTGGTCTCAAATTTACCAAATCTCTAGACTTCATGACCTTCCTGTATCAACAATATCGACGATAATGGATTCTGATTCACATCCAGACTTAGAACAAAGTTGCATCGAAGAAGAACTGCCACCATTGGATATGTTCTTGCCAACCCGGGGAGAGAAGGAAAGGAAGCCTTTACGGATGTTCCTGCCACAGCCGCAGCGGAAAATCTTCTTGCGAAGGCAGGAAGATTTGGAAAGCCTACTTTCCTTGCAAAATCCTAGTGCCTGGAATCAGCTGCAGATCCAGGTCCTGTGGTATATCCAGCGAAAAGAGTTAGCAGGCAACGGGGTCATTTGCAACCACAGGATGTCCCAAAATTTTCGATCACTGGAAAACTAGTGGATGCCTCCGATCCTTACAGACGAGACACTGTCAAAACTGCAGCGTCTTAGGGATGATGAGAGTCTAACTCAAGCGCTAGGAGAATTATCCAGTACTCAACTTCCAGGAGAGGCACAGGAAAATGAAGTCACTCAAGAACACACTCGCCTTTCAGAAGAGATACACGAGCATGAAGCACCCCAAAAACGGACTCGCCTTTCAGAAGAGACCGAAGAGCCTAAAACCTCTCGAAAACATCAACTGAAGAAAAACACACCAAGAACGCGTCGCTTGAATTTACCGTCCCAACTTACCCAAACTCTAACTGTAACGCCAAATATACCAGTGCAACCGGAAACAGGAATACAAGTAGTTATTTAATTCTCCATAATATGGCTACTATACTGACAATTAGCAGAATTCATACCAGATCACAGCCCCAGTCACTGTTCCTGATTTCAAACAGACCATGACGCAGCTGGTTCAATACCTTCTTCGAGGGTGTCCAACTGCGTTGAGAGGGATACCATATACTGAAATTATTGAGGCTTTAGGGACTGCTCAAGCAGTCACCGAGATGCTTTTGGAGTACATTTGCGACGAAGTAAAAACGTTAGAAGGAAAGACAGTGTTGAAAGGTATGCCTAACATTTATAGCTATATTAAATAAGCACTGACAAAAAAAAAAATACAGCTTAGCCGAAATCCAGAGACAGCAACTACCGCACCTTACAGAATATCCCCGAGCCTCTGGTGGCTATTTGGACTTTATTCTTTTTCTCCAATTAGTTCTTGGGGACCACCGGGGTGTGTGTTTGGGGGGGGGGGGAAGGAAAGTTCCAAATGGGGGTCGAACCCACAGCTAGTTATACATTATCAGTAATTAACAGTATACAATAGTGTGACTAAATGATGGGAATTGTTGAAGATACAAAGAAAAGCCTGTGTCCGCAACAGGCCTCTGTAGCGAAATGGTTAACGCGCCAGCCTTCTATGTGTTATGTAGCTGGAGATTCTGGGTTCGACCCCCAGCAGGGGTGTTTTTTTTACCATGTACCACCACCAAGTGGTGGGAACAGACTTGCATATCTATGCATAAGAATGCCTAAGAATGCCTGGTACTTTTTCGCTAGATTCCTGACATTCTGCATTACTACCTAGGTACTCCCCCGCATCACCGGCACACGCGAGGACGAGGACGAGGACGAGTACACGGCATCCTCGGCCGGCGTCGCATTGCCATTAATATTGCTATTATTGCTACTGCTATTGAACTGGTCGGGCGCAGTCAGAAACTCCAGTGTTTGGCCCTGTGTCTGGGCTACGGGGTCGCGGCTGGCGTATCGGCCCAGCGCCTTGTCGTGGTATCCGCCTCGTTCGTGGTGGAAGCCGCGCGCTCGCAGGTCTTTGCTACGGGCGTCATCGCGGGCGGCAGCGCGTCGCTGCGAGGCTGATCAAAATGATATTATTAGTTTTTGGGACTAGTTACAATGGGAAGAAAAAAAAAAAAGAAAAAGCTTACACTGCCAGAATACGTAGTAGACGCCCACGGTCAAAATGCAGGCGGCTGCGAAGCCAAACATGATGCCGAGCTCGTGCCGCAGCGAGACCATCGGCGTGTATGGCGGGTGGGCGTAGGTGATGTCTTGGTCGCTCATGGTCGCTCGGTTCTTCAGTCTGCCTTCTTTTTTTTTCCCTCCCCTGTTTACAGATATGTGAATGAGAGAAAGAGAGAGCGAGCTGAAGAGAAAGTAATAAGTAGCGACGTCAGCCGATTAAAAGTGGGGCCAAAAGTCCGGGGTTAAGCGGAGTCTATTTCATGACTTCCAACTTCGATTTCTCAACTATCAATGGTATCAAGTATATGAATCAAGTACTGCTACCCCTCCATCTCTGCCAGTCCCAGATCTGCCATTCCCAGGTCCGCCACCGTCTCGTTCAGTTTCTCTGCAGCCTCCCACTTGACGCGGATCGGCTCGTGCTCTTTGCTCGTAATGCGGCGGTTGTCCTTGTTCCACAGCTGGAACTTCAAATCGGCTGGCCCAACGACCACACGCACGTCAAAGGTGGCTCTCCAATAAACCGGCTTGAGGTTGTACCAGTGGCGGTTCTTCAGCTTCTTATCTACGGCCCCCGTCGCGATGTCGAGACTGCAAACCTGCTGCACACCGCCTTTCCTCATGCTCTGGGGGAGTTGCTCCGGGGGCAGTGTTGACATGACGATGTTGACTTTCCATACTTCATCTTCTTCGTCGCGCTGTAGCTTGAGTTGGAACTCTTTCTCGATGCCTGTGTGTGGTACGGGTTTTCCCTAGGTGACGTTAAAAAAAAAGAAAAAGGCTTTTTCGGTTGGATTTTTGAATGGCTCGTACATACCTGGGTGATGAGCCAGTCAATCTGGCGCGTTGCGTATGTCTTGCTGTCGCGAGGATCCTCCCTGATGGGCTCCCCAAGGTGTCTTACTGGATCATAGATCATGTCGCAGATGATTCCGTAGCTCACGGGCGAACACCTCGATCCGAAAACCACCACGCCTCGCTGTATTTGCTGTGTGCGGTCCAGTACCAAGCCATGCACAACGACAAGCTGCCTATAAGGTGTTAGGACTATGGAATGGTGGAAGATTGAGGCAAAGCTTACGGCTCATCGGCGATGAGAACATTCAGCCCCATCTCACTAGGGTGTGTGCTAGTGGTTGTAGCGTTTGCTACAGTCAAGCTGCTATATCGCTTGAGGAGCCGATTCCTCACATACGGAGAGCTACCGAATCCTCCCGAGAGGACTATATACGACTGAGCACATGTTAGCCAATGCCATGTCACAAGTTCCCAAGAAATGACACACAATTTCCTCACTTGGATATTTCCTGCGTGTCTGTGCGATCTGTGCATCGAGAAGGACGCACATTTCGTCAATCTTGGTATCGAAGCACTCTTTCAAGGCATCCCTTTTTTCGTTCTCAGCAACGTGGATCCTTATTAGCAATGACTAGTGGGGGAACACACCACGATATTTGCATCTGTCCATTGTGAATCTCAGCCTCCGGAAAGTCTGATTCAGTGCGCAGGAAGGGAACGTCCAGTTTCAGCCATGGCGTTAAAGCCGCATCCGTGCCATACGAGCATTTTAATCGCTGAAAGCGCCCTGATATCATTTTTGAGGCTGTTTCCGCTGGGGTTTTGGTTAGATGGGTTCTGATTTTTGATAATCTCTCGCACAATATTTTGTGCATTGCTTTGTCGATGAAGACGGAGCCGATGGGGCGTCCTGACTGGATTTAGTTTTTTGGGCAGAACGTTTGGATGTTGGCGTCTTACCTTCGACGTTGCCTAGTTGTTCGAGCACGGTGGGCTCATTGGTTGACGACAGCAGTCTGAGTACGTTGACATCCTGACATACTTTAGGACGCAAGACGGAAATAAAAGGAGTTGGATTCGCTTACTGTCGTTCCTCCTCCGGCATCACAAATCATGATGATATCGCCTTTCTGCAATTCTTAGCCTTGAGATTCCACATGATAACAGAAACAAGTACCTTATAATGGTGCTTGCACGCATAAACAGCTGCAGCTTCAGCTTCAGTCAACCCAATGGATGCTTGGTGACTGGTCGATCTCATCACGATTGCTTGCTCGATTAAAGCCCTCGTCTCTTCAATCATGCGCACATCCTTCCACGTTGTTGGCACACTGAAAATAAACTCGACTTTCCGAAAGGGAAAGTCGGGAATGGTACTGGCTAGAAAGTTGGATACATGCTGGTAGATGCATTGAACATAATCTCGAAACCATCGTTGCGCCTCTGCTCTGCTAGGGCCGCTAGGGTCGTGATACTGAGGGGCTAGATGGAGTTTGAAGAACTCGCGTATTACCGATGTCTCATCTTCCGGGTCGCAGAGGAACCCCCAGTTTTTAACTGTTGTTGAATCCGCTTCGTATTCAATACAGGTTGGCACCTTGTTTGCCAGCTCGCCGGGCAGTTTTCCCGGCCAGCGCTGGATTGTCTTGGGAGCTGGCCATGTCGGTGCAAACGAGTAGGCCACTCCTATTAACTCTATCAGCCGTGGCGCTTCCTATTCAAAAAAGAAAGTGTTTCTTACCAGTATATGTCATGCCAAAGTCGACTCCGACGACAATCTCGGGGCTCCATTCCTCCGCGCTCGACGCCCCGGAGCTGAAAGAGACAACCTCTTTGTCACTCATTTGGCCTTGGAAACCAAAAAACAGACTACAATGATGCTACAATCCGACATCTGTATCAAACATTGAAAGGTGTATTTATGTCCCCGATCGCAAATGCGGCGTAGCAAACCCTGGGCTGCAAACTAAAAATTGGCCCGTAAGTGTCCCCTGTTCTTCGTTTACATGAAGAGTAGCTATTCTTGATCCGTCATATTTCTAAATTAACGCGCTGAATTAGGCGGCTCTCAGCTTGATGTGCGGGCCGTCGGACACAGCCAAGCCCGTACGTGCAGCAACTAGCTCAGCCCTCTACCAATCCCATCTTGTTTTGAGTGTTGGGCTTGCTGGTGCAGGGTGTATTATTCCTCTCAGCCTTCAAGGCTACTGTTAAGCCCCCAATTACCATCTGAGGCTGGAAAAGTGGAAATAGCCGCGTTTCGCATTTTGCTCCTCTCATCGGCCTGCTCCTCTAACACCACAAAAAAACGCTGGTGGATGATATGAGCGATGGCGACGACTACAGATGCGATTCAGGCAAATCAGGACCCGACAACAGCTGCCGCTGTAGCATCTACTCCTTCTTGTGAAACCACAAGCAATGGAGTAAGTAAAGGCGCACTGGCCGGCGCCATTGTCGGTTCGATTATTGGCACTGCGATACTGGCAGCTTTGGCTGCATGGGTTCTTCTCCGCCGATCCAAAAGCGAACGTCGCGGATTCCAGAGGTATGAGAGAGAAGACGAAAGCACGGCGGCAATCAGCAAGTCCGATCCGAGCAGCAGATTTCTTACCGCAAAGACCAACAACCAAAACTATCCGGATGGAGCGAGCGAGAATTTGTTGTTGAGCAGCCGCAGGCTGTCGAAATACACCCTGGAGCCAGCAGACGATGAGAGCGTTATTGGACGTGTCTTGGGGGTCTTTGATCAAGTCAGTCTTCATGTAGACAACTACTACTCGCATTCGCAGCCGGTGGCTTCGCTATCCAGTCCGGCGGAAACCGCGAGGATTTCTGCCTTTGACACGCCGTTTCTCCCTGCACCACTGCCTGCGCTTCTGGAAAACGCCAAAACGCGGCGAACGACCATCACGCATGCTCTCGTGCGCTCGCTTCTGCTGGCAATACAGCCAGATAGCGGAACAAGAGGGTCATTGCTTCCACCACTCTTCACGCCTGGTGTACGAACATTGGACGGTAATGATGACCAAGGTACCGATAGTCTTGTCTCCGACATAAATACCCTAAAAGCTGACCCTGTTATTTCTAGAACTGAGCCAGGCTACTTATACCTGGCGCATTTTAACCGCCTACCTATCTCGACACGCAACTCCCGAAGCCACAGAAGAAAACCAAGCCAGACAAGAAGCAGCAATCAACGCCTTTGTTGAAAACTTTACTTCCTCGTTCGCTCCCTACGCTGACCCAGTGCACTCGCCAGAAGACCGCGCGCGGCACTTGAGAAGCGTGACGACCGCGGCGGCTGACCTGGGGCGTTGGCTTTTTGGGCAGCCCTGTGCATTTGATTTCGTCTATTCGGGGGCTACTGCGAATGGTGAGGTGGTTGTTTTGCCGACTATTGTGAAGGTCCTTGATGAGAGGGGGCAGCGGTTGGCGACCAAGGCGGTTTTGTGCCAGGCGACTACTGCTAAGTTTTAGTTTTGGGCTTTAGCCTTTTAATATGGTATATGTCGAGAGGATTTTCACTCGTGGCAGCTGTAAGAGAATATAAAAACTCTGAGTAATGTCAAATATTATAGTAACTATTCAAATGTTAAACGATAATCCCCTATAATTTGCCAGCCTAGACCGAACGGCCTCCTTGCAACGATGGTACACGTATAGAATGCTGTTTTCCGCTT